TGTATAGGGGAAGGGCTGGCCTTTGGGTGTACCCAAATCTGGGTTCGAATCCCAGCTCCAGCATTCAGAGTCTGATTGCTTTGGGCCAGGTACTTCATATTCTCTGTCAGTTTCATCCGTGAGCTAAGCTGCCGAGCAGGACTTCATTTAGTCATTCTACAAATATTTGTTCTACTAGAGTGGAGTGAGATAGCAACATTTTTGTCCTGCAAAGCAGTCCGGTGCGGGCACCCCATGGGGACGAAAGAGTCACGGCCAGGTGTAGGCAGCACGGCCACAGTAAAGTCCAGGGTGGGGGAATTCTGGAAAGTTCTGAGGGTTAATATTCCTACCATGCTCCAGGTACAATTCAGCAACGCCCTCTGCTCTGGAATTCCTGAGTGATGAGTCACCCTTGAGCACCTGGGGAAGTGGGGCAGGTAAGGGACCAGAGGCAGCCTGTACCTATCACTGGTCTCTGGGATTGAGTCACAGGTTCCCCAAGAAGTCAAGCTCATTGCCAAACCTTAGAAAATGTATTAGGGAGGGCTCCTGGAATCCACACCTAGGGAGCGGTTGAGGTGACCCTACAGAGATGCCCCAAGCTGGGGCGAGAGGGCTGGAACTTTATACCCCACCATGGACCAAGTGTTGGAAGCAGCCTGCCCCAAAGAAAGGGGGCATGACCTTGGGCATGGGGGAGGCATGTTGGTGGGGCATCTCCACTGGAAGCTTCCCTTATCTCTGTGTCCTCCCCTTTCTCAGCCCTTCCCATGCCCAAAATAGATTTGAGAAGAAGAACTTAATGTAGCCATGGAAAGTTTAGGAAGAAACGACATGTAAACAGAGGCCTGAAGAATGACAGGAAATTAACTACAGCAGAAGGAAGTTTCCAGGCTGACGGATGGGCAGAGGCAAAGGCTCAGTAGAGAGCAGGCGTGGAGGAAGACAAGAGAAAAGGAGGAGGAGGAGGAGAGGAGAAGAAGAGGAAGAAGAAGGAGAAGGAGAATAAAGAGAGAGGGAGAGAGGGAAGGAGGGGAGAAAAGGAGGGAGGAGGGAAGGGGAGAGAGGAGAGAGAGAGAAAGGTAGGCTGGGGGTGGGTGGGGAAGAGAAGTGCCTGTTCAGGATAACTGAAAATAACTGAGCAAGCATGAGTGGACATGGGGTAAAGCACTAATCAGGCCATTTACTCAGAAGTGCCTTAAACTCTCCAAACCTCAGTTTCTTCATCTGTAAAACAGGGAAGATCACCCCTGTCTCTCAGCTGTTTTTAGGATGACACGAAATAACACACACATGTGCAATAAGAGCTCCATGAATGTTAGTTGCTCGTTTTATTATTACTGGCTATTGTTGAGGAAGTAATACCAGTTGATCTATTGATAATATACCCCTTACCTAGAAAAATTATGGAACAAGAATTCAGGAATTGGCTAACTTTCTTAAAGTGCCAGGTAAACTACTTTAAGTAGATGGGCTCAGTTGTAGTTTCTCAATTCTTCCATTGTAGTATGAAAGCAGCCTTAGTCAAGGCATAACAAATGGGCATGGCTGTGTTCTAATAAGCCTTTATTTATGGATATAGGCGTTGGTCCATTTGCCAACCCTGGTAATAAATTATTAAATTACCCAAACAAAACTCTGTCATTTGAAAAGACATTTCAACTCCCTCTGTATGTATGTAGCCTTTCTCCCCGTCAAGATCACTTGAGCCCAGGAGTTTGAGGTTGCTGTGAGCTAGGCTGATGCCATGGTATTCTCACCTCAGGTGACAAAGTGATACCCTGTCTCAAAAAAAAAATTAAATCAAAATGAGTCCATGAACAAAAGACTCTCTTGACTTCTGATGCTTAATCACCCAGTCTTCCTCTCCAAGGTCAATTTTTTGTATATTGTTTCAGAGGTATCTCACATTTAAGCAAACAAATAGTTAGTGTTTCTCCTTTCTTTAAACCGCTGGATTACATACTACACAATTCCTACTGGACTGTGCTTTTTAAAATTTCTATGTATACATCTTGATGATAATTACATATATACAAGTTTAGAACTCAAACTCCCTATTGATTGGAATGACTGCACAGTATTTCATTTATGGGTGTACCCTAATTTACTTAACCAGTCTTCCCACAGATGATATTGATATTTTCAGTATTTTTTTAATTCAAGTTGATTGAGATATATATTGAGCAATGATTGCCCTTTTAAGTGTACAGCTCTATGAATTTTGGTGAACATATACAATCAAGTAATTATAATCAAGATATGGAATAGTCCCATTACTCCAAAAACTTTCCTAGTGCATCCTGTAGGCAGTCCCCTTCTCTCATCCCGAATCCTTGACAACCATGATCTGTTTTCTGTCCCTATAATTTGCCTTTTCTAAAATACTGTAGATCATATTGGATGTAGCTTTTTGAATCTGATTTCACTGAACATGATGCATTTGAGACTCATGCATGTTGTGGCATGTATCAGCAGTTGGTTTCTTTTTATGGAGTGCCACTCGGTGGTGTGGATATACTGCAGTTAATTTATCCATTCACCAGTTGTAAGACACTGGGTTGTTTCCAGCTTGGGGCAATCATGAATAAATCTGCCATTATCAAGTACTGGCTTTTATGTGGACATAAGTTTTTATTTCTCTTGGGTAAACACCTAGGAATGGGATTACTGGCTCATGTGATAAGTGTATGTATGACTTAACAATTGCCAAACTGCTTTCCAAAGTGACTATACCACTTTGTTTTCCTACCAGCAATAAAAGTACCAGTGTTTAGTATTGTCAGTTGTTTTGATTTTAGCCTTTCTAATAGGTGTGCATAGTTTTTCTACTATAAAAAGTGAATAAATATCCTTAAACATATGTCCTCTGTATTTTGGTGTGAGTATATATCTGTAAGATACATTCTTAGAACTACAACTGATGGGTCAAAGGGTGTGAAAGGTTGATTAGATATTGCCAAACAGACTTTTTAGACAGTGGTGCCAATTTGCTCACCTACCAAGTAGTTCCTGTTTCACCACATCCTCAGCAACACAGTGTGTTACTCAATTTCAGTACCTTTTTTTTTTTGAGACCGAGTCTCGCTCTGTTGCTCTCAGTAGAGTTGCCATGGCTTCAGCCAAGCTCACAGCAACTTAAACTCCTGGGCTCAAACAGCCTCCCAAGTAGGTGGGACTACAGGCGCACACCATGACACTGGGCTAATTATTTTATTTTTAGTAAGGACAGGGTCTTGCTCTTGCTCAGGCTGGTCTCAAACTCCTGAGCTCAAGCAATCCTCCCGCCTCAGCCTCCCAGAGTGTTAGGATTACAGGCATGAGCCATCATGCCTGGCCTCAGTACATGTTTTTAAATTGAAATTTTCCTTTAGATGATTGCAGTGTGACTATTTACCTCATAGAGTTGTTGGTAAATGCTTAACATAAAGCTTCTAGGGCAGCGCTTTTCAGACAGAGAGTAGCAATGAATGTTAGTTATTGTATAATTACCACTTGTAATTAGTCAATCACATTATTATTTGCCTGAGTTCCTCATCAATATATTCAGGAGTGCTTTTTTTCTGAAGAGATTAAACATTCCACCTACGGAATTTAGTTAATCCCCACAAATTCTTGAGAGGCTGGCCAGGAATTCAGTCACTGTGGTTTTACAGAATAGGGAAATCACACTGGATAAGACGTTTTAGGGTTACAGAACAGACATATCCCACAGGGTCAAAAATTATCTAGTTTGGAATAGGAATTGAATCTTCTAGATTACAATGGCTTTCAAACTTTTTTGATGGCTACTCACTTTAAGAAATACATCAGATACCAGAACACACCTACAAGGGCTGTCAGGAAAGTATCCAACCATTATTAATATAAGGAGAATGGTTACGTAGGTGGATACTTTCCCGACAGTAATAATGGTTTGGGAAACAAAAGTTTGGGAAAACAAACTTTTCTATTAGTAACATTCCATTTCATTGAAAATGTGCTTGTTGATTTCAAAGCCTACTATTGAGTTGACCAGCAGTTTAAAGAGCACTGTTCTAGAATCTAGGTCAAGATTTTTTTTTTTCATAGGGAAAGCATCTTGCTCTGTTGCCCAGGCTGATCTCAAACTCTTGAGATCAAAGGATCCTCCTGCACTGGGCTCCCAAAGTGCTGGGATAACAGGCCTGAGCCACCACCAGGCCCAGGATGCCTTATTTAACCAAGTTTTTTTGATATTCTTGACGAAACAACTGCAATCCTGCAACCTTACACTCAGTTTTGGGCACATCATTCCCATGTTCTTTTCTCTCCTTGGACTCCTTATGTGCACTGCACTTTAAGCACCGGTGGAAGAGAACAGGTTTTGAAGAGCAAGAGGCCTGGATTAAAATCTCATCTCCACCATTTGCTGGTGGATCTTGGTTCAGTCTCTTCAGCTACTGAAGACTCTCATCTCCTCTTCTGTAAAACGAGCATAGATATAGAGAGGTCAACGAGCTATAAGGTGTGTAAAGGGTTTGGCACAGCGTCAGTCTCACAGTAAGTGCTTAATACAGTGGTTCTCCAGGTGTGACAGCAAGACCAGCAGCATCAGCACCACCCGGGAACTTGGCGGCAAAGCGAATTCTCAGGCCTCGCCCCAGATGAACTGAGTCGGAAACGCCAGGGGTGGGCTCCCGCAGTCTGTTCCAACAAGTCTCCAGCTGGTACTGCGGCACGCTCAAGTTTGAGAGCCACAGCCTTACTACGTGGCGTAACTATTACCAGTCGGTACTTGAGGCTGCAGAGAAGGCAAGCAGGCAGGGGACGCCAAGACTCAGCGGGTTAAAGTGAAGCGCTGAGGAGCCAGCGGCGCCCACAGGTAAAAGGCTGGGAACCGCCTCAGTCCCCGCCCCGCCTCCCGCCTCCTTCCGCGGCGCCGGCCGGGAGCGCTCGCTGATTGGTGGAGTCTCTGGCGGACGTTCACCTCCCACACCACCGCAGAGAGCGGAAATGGAGAGGGGCGGGACTGGGCGCGGCGAGAGCTGGGCGCCTATTGGCTACAGGCCACGCCGCGCGGAGTGGGGCGGAGCTGAGCGTGCGCAGGGTCGAGGCGCGCCGCCGGCGGCCGTTGAAAAATGGCGACTGTCACCGAGCTGAAGGCCGGTGAGTGCAAGCGGGAAGGCTTGCTAGGTGGGAAGTGTCTGGCCTTCACCCTGGGAAAAGGAAGGGACAGGAGCAGAGCGCGCAGAACACCGGGGCCGGCATTTCCGGGGGCCGCTCTGAGGTTTGAGCGCCTGCGGGGAGCATCCGGCCGGTGTGGTGGTCGCTGCGCGGGGGGCTCTGAGAAGTGGCTGCCCGGGGGCGATTCTAGACAGGTTTGGAGCTAAAGGAGTCGCAGAATCTGCAGGCACCAGAGAGGTCTGCGGGGCTGCACGTTGGGCCTCTGGCGCGGGGACCGAGGGCTTGGCCCGGGCCTTGAACTCTGGGCTGATGATTACCTTACCCACAACCATTATTGATGGTAGGCACAGTCCTAAACGGTTTTCTTGGTTGTCTCCTTGAATCCTTACAAACCTCCTCTGGAATAGGTCCTGCCTTTTCATCGGGAGACACTATTAATAGAGGAAGAAGGTTTCCTGACCTGGTCATTCTCCTGTGTTTTTCGGAAAAGTTCCACAAAAGTGGTTACATGCGAGTCATTAATGACATTTCTGCACCGTTAACTGTAAAGTAGATGCCCAAACAAGTAGTAACATAGTTACCAGTGATTGAGCTTTGTGTGTCAGGCGCTACCCAGCCCGTGCTTTGTTTAATCCGTGTAACAGCCCTGTACCCATTTCATAAATTGGGAAACTTGAGGTGCTGAGAGGTGAAATCAGCTCGCCCAAAGTAATTTGGCTAGGAAGAGGCAGAGTGTGGGAACCTAGATATGATGCACCAGAGCACTGAGTCTTGATCACTGCCGCCCAATAAATAAAATCAGCCCCAGTTCTCAGGGAACTCAGGGTTTAAACCGGTAATTCTTAGAGATTGGGAGGAGAAGCAATTGAATCTCTTTGAGAATATGATTCAGTAACCATTGGTGTAAATGTGTATTTGGGGCATTGGACTGGTGAACAATCATAAAACGGGCATACCTCTGTCCACAAGAACAGACTTCATATGAATCCATGGCCCCTCTCCCCAGAGAAATACACACCACATGTAATATTGCATACAATTTCAGAGGGTCTAAAGATATTCTGTGGGATATAAGCCAGGTTAAGACCTCTTTCTGAAGAAATTTTTATTGTCCAGTGTTCTAAGTATAATAAAAGAGGGAAGGGTAAAATGATATGGAACCCCAGAAGAAGGCATAACTCTGGGCATTAAGGGTGTCCTACACGGACTAGGGGGCCCTTTATACTTTTTTCCTGTATCTCCCAGTTCTGAATGTGCTTTGTGTCCAAGAGAATCCAATGAAAGCTTGTTTGTCAACCAATTATCTTACATTTTGCAGATTTTTATCTTTTGTATGCACTCTCACCTTTTCCCACTTGGTTCTATTTCTGTGAGAGAACTCATTATTTTGGAGAAGACAACTGAGGCATGGGCTGGTGATTCACCATTGAAATGGGGATGAATACTAGGTTTCTTAATTCCAGTGTCATTCTTATTTTTCTGCTGAGTTTGAGGCTGTACTGTGTATAATACGGAGTAATTGGGACAGGACCCTTGTCTGAAAAAAATCTCTCCATCTAATTTCCAAAGATTAGATTTTGAAATTAGAGAACAGGGATTCAGTTATGATCCTGAGAGTGTGAGGAGGCTGTTGCAAAGCCTTTTTATGGGCCTGTTACAAAGTCTGATTGGGTGATAACTACACTTAACCTGCCAGCAGAAAGGTTGAGGGGTTGATTTAAAAATAAGAAGAAAAAAAGGTAAAATGTCTAGTAAAGATTGTGTCTTTTTAATCATATAAGCTAGGAATCTTGTTATTTATCAAAGCTTAAAAAAAATTTATGTCATCATACCTACATGAGTTAGCTCTCTGAGCTCCCTTTATGAATTTTCATTATTGTGGTATACTTATTTGGTGCCTTTGGCAGGGTGCTGTACAATATTAAACTATGTTTATTTCACCAGTAATATATAATACTGTATGATAATGTTCCTAGGTAACTGAGCTCTTACTATGTTCTAGGCACTGTGGATGAGGTGTGTTGATTCTTTGGAGTTGTCATTTACCCAAGAGGGACTATTTGAAAAAAGAAAGTTCCAGACCAGATACAAGAGATGGTGCCAATTCAGCCCCAAACTCCTCATTATCTATACTTATACTATCTATATATATATATCTATACTATAAATATTTACAGCTAAATCCCATTATCACAACTACTGATCTATGTCTTGGTGACCCTGGCTAGTCTAGAAGTTAGGTTGCATTCAGCATATACATCCCCGCCAACTTAAGATGGCTTTGATATAGTCATGTGTTAGATTTCTGACACGGCTTAACATTTCAAAATCCTACTGTTTTAAAGAGTTGGCTCATAATTGTCTTTACAAAAACAAAAAACAAAACACCTTTTCATTTAGAATGGGCCATTCCATAAGGGTACTAGATATAAAAAGTTTTTATTAAAAAAAATATATATATATACTCCTTTCATGGAATGTAGTTGTTTTCCTCAATTATCTTTCTAGACCAGAGGTGGTTAATGACACACACAACCTGTGTGCAGTGGAAAACACTCTTGAAAATGTATGAGAGACTGGGAGGGTAAGTTCAGGTCCCAGTGAGCTGTCTTTCTTCGCTCTTCCTTTCTTCCCTCTCTAAAGATTATGTATTAGACTACAGACTTGACAGTGATGATGTTATAAGGACAAACTTGAATTTGTTTAACTATGTTAAGAGTAATTCATTGCAGCTTGGGAACTATATTTTTTATTATAAACATGGCTAGTGGTAGTTTGTGTAATTGTTCAGTTTGTTACCATGTTTAGATTGAGAGCTGCCATTGTACCTTTTACCTTTTAAACATTTTTCTTTAGAGTATGCCTAAGAATGACAAAATTAACTCTATAACGGAAGCATTAATACTTTATATTGAACAGTTTTAAAGGATACCTTGGAAAAAAAGGGAGTATTAGGGCATTTAAAAGCAAGGATCCGAGCTGAAGTTTTCAATGCCCTAGATGATGACCGTGAACCCCGACCATCATTGTCTCATGAAAACCTTTTAATTAATGAATTGATTCGGGAGTATCTGGAATTCAACAAATATAAGTATACAGCATCCGTCCTCATAGCAGGTAAGTGGTTATTGTTCATCACCGAAGAGTATATCTACTTCTCCCCTTTTCCCCCAATTTTCAGAAAGTGTTTAGCCTGGATCCATGTCTATTACCATACAGTGTCATCTGGGTGACTGGGACATAAAAATCACATGGACTCTCTCTGTAGCTTAAATTCTCATGAGGGCTACTGTACAGCAGGGGAAAATAAATGACTAAGCACTTAAACTGGGCATATACTTTGAAAAATCATCCATAACTCCTGATACTGATAATAAACAATAGTTGACATTTATCCTGTTCCACTAGTTTTTTCCATGTATATGCTTTCAAAATACAAATTAAACATATTCTTATTTAAAAATATAAAATGGAGATAGAAACCTTAAAATATTACTACTACATATTGGTTTAGGGATATATACAGATGTACATAAAAGGACAGTATTTAAAAAGGACTAGGTAGGTAAACTCCAAACTCACTCTAGTGATGGGAGGGAAAGAGGTGGTATTGAGGGAAGGGGGTGAGTAGTTAAAGAGAAATTTACTTGTATGTGCTGTCATCATTTTTTCAAAATCTGAAAAATGTATACACCAGATAATTGTGATTCTTATTAAAATCATATTTGCTTTTTAGGTTAATAGACTCAGTGTTCTCATGAATTTTTCCCCCCAGAATCTGGCCAACCTGTAGATCCATTGGACAGACAATTTCTCATTCGTGAACTAAATGCATTTGAAGAATCAAAGGATAATACAATGTAAGAAATTTTTTTTAAAATATGTTTTCAGATATTGTTGTATTAGAGTCATAATTGCAAAGTGGTAGCTTTATTTCATTTTAATTCAGTGGGTATTTATTCAGATCTAGTGTGTATCAAGCATTCTACTAAATCTAAAATGTGCAGGAGTGAATAAGTCAGATGAAGTCTCTGTTTGCTGGAGCTAAAATTCCTGTGGCTTGAGAGTGACTAAATATCTACTTCTTTCTCAGGGTAACTCCTTTTAGCTTCTTGATCCATTTCTTTTTTCCTTCTGAGGCTTTGTTCTATCATTTGTTTTCTTCATATTTAACTCTTCCTCCCTACTGCTTTCTACACTTCAACTTAAGAATCTACTCAGATCTCTCCTCCCCTACAAAAGCCTATCAATCCTAACCCCAGGCTACTGCTTGATATCCTTTTTACTGCCGAACATACTGAATCAACCTCTGCTTTCATTTTGCTATTACCCTCTCCTTTGCCCTCCCTGCATCTTACACTCTTGTCACCATTTATATTGAAACTATGCTCTTGAAAAGGAGGGTGACCACTTTCTAGTATCTAGTAGTTTCTTAATTCTCTTCTTACTTCAGTGTTTCTTAAACTTTTTCCAGGTGGTCCCTGACTGGCAAAAAAAGAGTTGTACTTAAAAGGCCTGAGAACATGGCTCAAAGTAGCCTTTCTCTAGCTAGAAATGTCTTTGTTTTCTCATTCTAAAAGTTCATTGATTTTTTTTTTTTCATTTTACTTCATGGTAAAATTGTGTTTGTATATATGATATGCCAATTAAATTTAACTCTCCCATAAATCTGTGTGTGAAATTAATGTTCCAGGATCATATGCCACGTTTATCTTGTACTTTGTGCCAAGCCCCTAATACTCTTGAGCCCTAGCACCAAGAGTAGGTCTATAGGTATACATACACATATTTCTAATTTGAGAAGTTCAGTTTTACTTGAGTTTCTATAGCATTTTGTAATATTGACTATTCTTCCTTAAAATACTTTTTGTCATTGTTTTCTTATGACTCTTTACTGTCCTAGGTTTCCTGTCTCCCTAGTGGTGCTCTCAATTTCTTCACTGACTCCGTTAGAGTTTCAAGTTGTGGGCACTCCCCAAGTTTTGTCCTCCACTTTCTTTTCTTGACTGCTGGCTCCATCTCCTTTTCTAAGTTCTCTAGAGTCTTTAATAAAATCTCTCCATGCTGATGATTCTGCTTTAAATATGACCAAGCTCCTGAGTTGTGGGCCCATATTTCTGTTGGTATCTCAAACTCAGTGTGTCCCAAAATTAAATATGTTATTTTTATCTTCTCAAACTTTCCTTGTAAGTTTCTCATGTAGCCTGTCCTTTCTAAACACAGAGTCCACAGTTAAGTTTTTGTTTTGTTCTCATTTCTCTACCAGTCACTTTGTTGGTGTCACTAATTCTGTCTCTGCAAGATCTCCTGTCCATTCTCACTGCCCTGTACTGTACTGTTCTGGAGCCCTCTGACTAGTTCCTCTATCTCCAGTCACTTTCTTTTCCAACTTATGTTTCATACTGCCAACTGCCTTTCTAAAGATAGTTATTGCTTTGTTTAAAAACATTTAATAACTTTCATTGTTTAAATAATGAAGTCCAAGTTGCTTAGTGTAGTGTTTTAGGCTTCCATATTTCTACCCATCTCTAATTGTATCTGCTCACATTTGATTGTTCATTGTGCCTTGAAGACAGGTTGCAATTTCATGCTCTTTGCTTTTGCAAACTGTCCCCTTAGCCTAGAAGCCCCAGATCACTTCCTTCTTTCTCTTAACTCCTACTCGAGCATCTTTCGTTTTTATTGGCCCTGTTCAGATGTTAACTCCTGTATGGCATTGTTCTCTTCCTCTTTCCCTCCTCCTCCCTTCAAGTTTCTTTAAGATTTGATTTGTAATTTTATCACACATATATTTTATTCTTTCTTATCTGGTCTTCCGCTAGACAGAAAACTTTAAGAAAAGGTATCTCAGAGTGTTCTTTATAGATACCAGATAAAATGCTTATTGAGTTGAATTTCAGTTACCAAGAAAATTTATTTGGTATCTATATAAAATCAAGGTGATTTTGATAAAGAGAGAAAAGAAAACGTTTCTTAGTTTTGTTGATTTGCATTTTCTTTAAAGTCTTTATGTTAATATTAAATGACTGCAGAAGGCTTTAGCAGCAATACTGGGCTTACTAAAAAGGAAGTCAATTGGCATTAGGCTACATTTTAAAGCAAAAATTTAATCTGAGTAAGTGTAATTTGGGCTAATGCACTAATAGAACATTGTTATAACACTATATATTTAACTAGTAATATAACAATTTAGAAATAGCATTTTAATTTCAGTGTTTTACTGAGCATCTCGACTCTATCTAACTATGTGCTGGTTAGATTATGATCTTTTTCTGACAGGGTTTGTAAGCAGGAGTCATGAATGAGTATAACAGGCTATTTACTCATCTTGTGATTAAAAATTGACATAAATTGACATAAAATGCCTTGAACACCTAGAGGAAGAGCAGTGGCTAGGGTAAATCTCATTTGAGTAGGGTAGCTAGAATTAGTTTTAATTATACTAAAAGTAATAATTTTTCATTGTGAAAATGTAGATAGTACAGAAGAGTATACATTGAAGAGTAAAAGTTATTGTTCTCCACTCTGCCCACTGAAACTTAATCTCACTCTCTAGAGATAATCACTGTTAACATTTTCCCTTATATTCATTCACACATATACTCTATATTTAAAGCATTTATATGTATATTTTCTTCCACATATATAAGGGAATTGTACAACTTGTTTTTCATGCCAGCATACTAACTGATGGACATTTAGATTTTTTCCAGTGTTTTATGATTGTAAGAGATATTATAGCGAATATTGGTTCACTTAAAAATAGAGTACCTGCTATATGCTAGGCACTGTTTTAGGCACTGGAGTTGTAACCATGAACATTGTTTTCTGCAGTGTTTTTGTCTGGGAATCAGTTGTTCCCAGAGTATTATCCACAGAAGTTTGTTTTGTGAAGTGCTCACCACAAAAGGGGTCTTAGGTAGTAAGGCCAGGATACCCATCCCCTCTTGGAGATTCGTAATGCACATTAGTATTGAAGTTGTTCTGAGAAATCCTACAATAAAGAAAGCCATTGTCATCTAATTCAGGGTCTCCAAACTTACTTGACTAAATTATCTTTTTTTGGCACAGTTGTTTACATCCTGCAGAGCTAGTGTTCATGGATACAGTTAATCACTGTATTTGTATGTTTGCTAAGCAAAAAGTGGGTAACACTTTAAGAAGCATAGATTTTGACAATTTTTGAAAAGTATAAAAATGGTATAGTTGAGAACACTGGGAAAAATAAATTGGAGGAGTCTAAATGTGACTTGGCATGAGCAGTGAGGTATTGTACCATGTAAACACAAGATTTTCATTTAGCAGTTGTTGGAAATGAACAACTATTACACTCTTCTCAGCTTCTTGGTAGCTTTTGAGATATTTGCTGCAGATGATAGTATTAAGAAGTAGGTTAATAAACAGCTTTATTTACAAAAAGTTAGGTAACTTCTTTAAGTCCTTGTTTCTCAACTTCAGTGATTTTTGTACTCACAAAGTTTGCTGTATACATGTACTACTCATATTATTTACTTATAGATCCGCAGTGCTGTATCTAAAACCCTGAGGCCAAGTGTGTTTTGAAAATCCAAACATTTTCAGGTTTTAAACAGTAATATGGTACGTATAACAGATACTATATATAGGGGAGTCTAAAGTGGCATTCCACAATCCCATTAACATTTTTCAGTGAAACTTAAGAATTATTAGACAAAGTAAGGTAAAGTCTGTAATAGTCATGCCACCAATAAGTTTGTGCCAAATTTATTAAGGAAATTTCAGTTTCAGAGGTTTTGTGTTCCAAAATTACACTTAATGTATTGTGAGACTGTACTTTTCTTTAAATTATCTTTTTTAGACTTATTTAAAAAAATTTTTAATATCCACGAAATTACAGGTTAAATGTAATAGTTATACATTTTACTAATAATATTTAAAAATATTTCTTAAAATTTTAAAGTCTCAGGCCGGGCGAGGTGGCTCACGCCTGTAATCCTAGCTCTCTGGGAGGCCGAGGCGGGCGGATTGCTCGAGGTCAGGAGTTTGAAACCAGCCTGAGCAAGAGCGAGACCCTGTCTCTACTATAAATAGAAAGAAATTAATTGGCCAACTAACATATACAAAAAATTAGCCGGGCATGGTGGCGAATGCCTGTAGTCCCAGCTACTTGGGAGGCTGAGGCAGGAGGATTGCTTGAGCCAGGAGTTTGAGGTTGCTGGAGCTAGGCTGATGCCACAGCACTCACTCTAGCCTGGGCAACAAAGCGAGACTCTGTCTCAAAAAAAAAAAAATTTAAAGTCTCAAGTAAATTTTATTGTATATTAATTTTTTTTCTTTTTTTTTTTTTTTTTGAGACAGTCTCACTCTGTCATAGGGGCTTTAGTGCAGTGGCACAATCATCGCTCACTGTAACCTCAAACTCCTGGGCTCAAGTGATCTTCCTGTCTTAGCTTCCTAAGTATCTGGCACTACAGGCTCCTGCTACTATGCCTGGCAAATTAAAAAAAAAAATTTTTTTTTTGTAGAGACATGAGCCACCATGCCCAGCTGTATGTTAATTTAAAAAATAAAATTTCAAACAATTAAAAATCATTTTGAACCAATTAACACTCTGGGAAAGATTGGATTAAAGTAAACCAAGGACCTATTTTATATTCCTAGATGATGCTTTTGTAAGCATCTTATTAAATAAAGCAACATCCCTGCTATACTTGTGGTATGAAAAAATTGCTTTGTTATGCAATTAGTTTATTGCTGTATAACCCCAGAATCTGATGGCTTAAAACAATAAACATAAATTATCTGTGGGATATTTGGGAATTTGGGATGAGCTTAGCTAGATGAAACTAGCTCAGGGTCTCCCATGAGGTTGCAGTCAAGATGCCAGCCAGGGTTGCAGTCTTCAGAAGGCTTGACTGGGGCTGAGGATCTGCCTCCAAGCCACTCACTCACAATGGTGTTGGCAGGAGGCCTCAATTCTCGCCATGTGTACCTTTCCTTGGGACTGCTTGAGTGTCCAAGAGAGAAAGCAAGGAGAGGAAGCCACAGTGTCATGATGTAGTCTCTGAAGTTGCACACTGTTACTTAATGCCTTATTCTATTCCTTAGAAGGGAGTTCAGCTCACATTCAAAGGGAGAGCAGTTAGATTCCATCATTGGAAGGGTGTGTCATACTTTAAACCATTATACCAGCTAACAATAGATATCTCAAAAAAATAAATTCTTTTGATTGTATTTTCAAATATGAGTTTGGAAACAAAGGAAGATATTTCTATTGTACCTCTCTTTATTATCAGCAGAGCAGCTTTCATTTGTGCAAGGGTGCTAATATAAATCTCCAGGCAGCACATTGTAAGGAAAAGAATGTGGGACTTGAGGTTCAAGTATAAACTTTGTTTATTTACTATCTGAGGGAATCTCTAGCAAATCTTCTCTGAGCTGTGGTTTTTTCATTTATAAATTCAGTGTGATTATTCTGACATCACAAGGTGAGGATAAAATGAAGAGAGGTAGGAGTATTTTGTAAACTGTTGTTTTTAAAATATTAGTTTATTATCCAACTCTTGTGTGGCTAACATTTATATACCACTTAATATGTGCCAGGCTCAGTAATAAACACTTGGCTTTATTAACTCACTTAGTGCATAACAACTCTGTAAGGTAGCGACTGTGCCTACCTTCTTCATTTATAAAGGAAGAAATGTTTATGAGACTGGAGAGGTTAAGAGTCTTACCCAATGTCCCACAGCTGTCAAGTGGCAAAGCCAGGATTTGGACCCAGGCAGTCTGGCTCTCAGGACGTAAGACCTTCTCTGGGCAAGGATTTATTAGTTCAGTAGACATTTATTGAATACATGTTGTGTATCAGACAGTGTTAAGTATTGTAAAATATTACACTGGACTTTGGAGTTTAAAAGCTGAATTCCTTTGGATTGATAGGAATTGTATTTCAATGTAGATGTTTGAGTTATTAACATGTTTTCTCTGCATTTTAAAATTGTCATTTGAGTTAAATGGTACTCTTAAAAGTATGAACAGTTTGTAGTTTGGGTAATAATCATGCAGGTTTTTAAAGCCTAGTGAATTACTTGGCCATTTTGGTGTCACAGGTAACCTTTTAAAGAATGAATGTTTTAAGCTTTTCCTATTTATGTACATTTAATGGATTTTTTGTTTTTTTTCTGCTATAGACCTCTTTTATACGGAATTTTAGCTCATTTCTTGCATGGAACTAAGGATGGCATCCAGAATGCATTTCTGAAAGGGCCTTCACTTCAACCTCCAAACCCAAATCTTGGCAAACAACCTAGTAGAAGAAAGCAAATGGGTATGAGTTTTCTGAGATTCATCATTTAGCTGTCAGCAAGTGTATTTTCTTACTTTATATATTTTTTACCTTTGGAGGAGTTTTTCCTGAACTTTGGAGTCATAATTTAATTCTTTTTATATCTAATATAGTTAGCCTATGTTACTCCAAAAACAAAGTGCTTTTTGGAAAAAGAATCTGGGGAGTGGGAGGAAATAACTGGGTAGCATTCTTAGATATAATTTTTATACACAAGTATTAAAAAATCTGATCTTCACATAAATTTATAGTCTTTGGAGCACCTTAGATACTTAGCATACTGAATAAATAGCATTTTATCAAGTGATCATTTTTTTTCTCTCCATGACCAAAGAATAAAAGGCAAGATTGCTGAATACAGATAGAGAAGTCATGGGTATATGTGTTCTTGGCACTTTGAGGATACTTTTTATAGTAGAATGATAGTTATCTACAAGTAACAAATTCTTAGGAGAATAGCCCTTATTTCTTTCAGAATGCTCACTTTTTAAATGAGCTTCCAGTTGTTTTGATTATATCAGCAGTAGGATCCCATTTTGATAATTTGAATTGAATTGCCCAATGTTTCCACCTGTGGAAGAGAGTGGATCTGTTTTCAAGGACAGTTATAGGTGGGGCTCAGGCAGCTGGAGAACAAATGTAAATTCTGAATGTTGATATGAACTTTCAGGAAATGCCTAAAATGCGAATTACCTTTCATGTTTTTCCTAAACTGCTGTGAGCAATATTGACCATGTTAGATATTTGCTGTCTCTTAAGTTCTAAAAGTAAAATATTTGTGAATGAGGTTAACTTCTTTTGGAGGTTATTTCTGATTTCACTAGGAGTTATCCTTCTATATATCTTAGAAATCTGAGCTGAGTAGAACATTGGAAAAGAAATCATTCCCACCTACTTATTTTTACAGTAGAGAAAACTATAAGAGGTTTCCAAGACTAAAAGGTTAAGTGGCTCATCTGAGGCCTATAGCAGATAATTATTAGCAGAGTGAGCACAACTGATTGCTATTCCTGTGGACTTTTTCCATTTAACGACTATAGAGAAGTTTTCCAAATTCTCTTTTCAGAGATTGGTCAGGCACTGACATTAGTGCCTACTATTTTGCAAGTACGTATAAAGCAAAATAAAACATTAATTGTGTAAGTACATGAGTAAATCTCTAAAATTTTCATATAATATAAAGTTCCCTTTAACCTCTTTCCTTCTTGCCTCTAACTCCCCCATTCCCCTCCTTTCCATAGACGGTACCTCTGTTAGCAGTTTGGGGGATGTCCTTCAGGACTCATTTCTGTGCATTTAAATATATGTGCACTGTCATTGTGCATATTATCCTGCAGCTGGCTTTTTTCATGTGTGGATCTCCTTCTTAACTTTGTGTAGTATTCCACAGTATTACTACAATCACTCTTATGTATTGTTTTTAATTTTTTCTTTTTTTATTGTAGTATAACGTTGTACCTTTGTCCACACATATAAATATTTCTTTTGTATAGATACTTGTTCAAAGTACATACATATTTAAAAATATAGTAGATTGTCTAATTCCCCTCCAAAAAGACTTGACCAGTTTATATACTTAGCAAGAATATATGACAATACCTGTTTCTGTGTTCAGTTGTCACCAGTGGATATTGTACACATTAATACATGCTAACAGAGCAACTCCGAGACATTGATCTTATCAGTCCCATGAGGAAAAATAACTTCTTGAGAAATAACTTTTCTTGTTTGTAAGCTTTTTATAATCAATCTTCTTAATATTCATGGCTAATGGCTAGTAAGAAAGTTATAAATGACAGCATTTCTTAACCAAATTCAGTTCTTTTGAGGTGAAAGTCACAGATGAGATTGCTAGCCCTAAACACAAGGAGGGGGAAAGAGAGGCAAACAGATAGATACCATTATTTATAAAGTGCAAGAGACATCCTAGAGTCAAGTTCGAGTCAATAAAGCAGCTTTGAGTGCCCATTCTGTGGAAAGCTCTCTAGAAAGCTGAGAAATAAGGATGACTGTACTAATGGGGGAAGAACAGTGATTTTGCAAATTACTCTTTTGATCATCAGAAATTTTCTTGACACAACAGTGACCTCTTTGTGCAATAACTTGGGCATTGTCAGCCAAAATTATATCATGTTCCAATAGCACCCTTAAACATCCCATTTACTCCCTCAATTCTAGCTTACTGTCTGAAGGCTACGTAACTCTTATTTGACAGCATTGAAAAGGTTATAAAGATATTACCATAATTATTCTTCAGATCTCAATATCTTATCTCTACATGAGCTCATCCAACTGAAGTATCAAGCACTAAAACTAAGTTAGCTTTTATTTGAAAATAAGTTCAAAGTATTGCAAGAGGAAAATACTTCTCTCATCAGAGCTTTCAAAGTGCTGCAGAAAAATAAAGAGGGTTTAAAGAAGAGGCATGCTCACCTTTGAAATGATAGCAAATTCATTGGTGCTGCTCCTCTAAGTGATTGTAATATTGGAGGCAAACTAGTTTTCACTATAAATAAAAGATTTTTATTGTAAAGAAAAGACCAGATTTTTATAATAGAGACAATCATCGGCTCAACTTTATTGCACATCTATCAAGCATAACAGACGTCACTTTAAAAATACTTTTCTAGAAGACCTAAAATCATTGTGTTCTAAGGAAATTGTTAAATTTTTTCTGTTCTGCAAAGTCTCCTAGGATTAAGGAAGAGAAATTTCCGTCCATTATCCAGACCTACAAAGTGGTGTTTGCATCGAGAGTAATCAGCTGCTGCGGACTAATAAAACTAGGTGTACAATCAAATTGTCTTTAGAATTAGAAAATTCAGTAGGTGTTTTTGGTGCTAAAATTTGCATTTTTCTAGCAGCTTGTCCAAATTTATATTCTTTTTTTTTTCCTGTTATCAAAATTGTCATTAGAAAGATTTTGTTTTGTCAGTTGTAAAGTGTTTGGGAGGTTAATATGTTTTTAGGAATATAGTTTTTGCATTGCATTTTTGTTGCATTTGGATATTAAGTCTTTTAGGTTCTTTTAATGTAGAATATTTCTATACTCTTGACCCCATGACAGAAGAAATTGAGCAGAAATGTCTAGAGCCCCACTTTTGCTATTGCCAGAGCAAAGTGTGTGGTCACAGGGCTCTGGCCTCCTCTCAACTCTCACGGAGTTTCATTGTTTTGTTGCTGGCCTTTGAGAACATTTTCTACAATTTCTTGAGTAACTATGATTTTGGTAGGAAGATGTAAACTACGCCAGTTTTTTCCTTGCCACAAGAGGGTGCTGATGGGAAGTATTTCTATTTGAAAATCTTTTAGTGTTTTAATTGAGGAGCTTTGGCGACTCTCAAAATGCTGATTGAACACCTTGCCCTTTCTTACAAATTCCATTCCTTACATGTAAGAGATAGATTTGTAACTACTTACACATGGGTTTACTGCAGGTTGTACTCTATTCACTTGTAGTCAAGAAATACTTTTGAGTAGTTAAGAGTGAGTCCATATACTAAAGGTTTCTGATTTCTTCAAAAGTGTTTAAAAATGATGAGCTTTTTCATTGTCCTAAACCATCTGAAGAATTCATAGAATACTAAAAATGTAACATCCTAAAATATAATATATGTAGATATGTCTGCCTATCTACCTATTTTGACTTCGGATAACTATTGACATTTGTTTCTGTTTATTTCAGATGATCACCTAAGAAAGGAGGAGGGGAAAAATACTAATACTGAAGATCTTCATATTTCTCAAGCAGTAAAGAGATGACACTCCATTTGGGGTATCTTTTATCTTAAAATTGTGTATATTAAATAACTTATTTATTGTCCCAGTGTTACCAAAATGTACCACTAATATTTGTACTTTGTAGAAATTTGAGTTTCTGCAGAACACGTAGCCCCTCATGTTTGACTGCATTTGTGAATAAAAACTGTCATCAAGCTTATTGGATTTGACTTGAAAGAAAATGTATTGTTTTTAGGAAGTATTTTTAAAGGTCCTTATGTTTGTGAGAAATGAAAGGGCTTTTTAGTACCCTGTACCTTCCTCTAAAAAAAATATAGGTCTCTGTAATCATATGCTCTGCTCTTTGACATGGCACATTAATTAAATTCTCTTCAGCTGGAATTATGTGGATTTGTAAGAACATTCAAGTCTTAAAAAAACATTAAAAGGGCATTAAAACCAGAAAAAAAACTGTAATTCCATGAAGTTTGGGTTTTTTAAAAGTACCTTTTTTCAGATAACCATTTATAATTAGGTTTAAATATCTGAAGTACTATCTAAAGTTGAACTTTTAAGCTAGGTAACAATCTACTTTTTCCTATAGACCATCTTGGCTTCTACTGGAAGATTTAATTAAAAGGTGTGTGGGGGGGAATATTTCTTTTAATTTTGCTGTAAGTGAAACAAAGAGTTTATTTTATTATATAAAGAATGTGAAATAAGCATGAAGAGACAGGCTTTGGGAGAAATACCAGAAAGTGACTTGTAAAAGATGGCATTGTTTAACCTCTATGTGGCCTTCAGGTGTGCAATTACAGATGAGCCATGAAAGGACCAGCCCTCTATTGTTTGGGCTCTAGAAGTCTTATTAAATGTTAATTTTTATTCTTAGGATAGAAAAATAGTAAGAGCTATTACAATGCTCTCTCTAAAATGCTACTTTGATATTTATTAAAAGAAATTTTTATGGTGTAGAAGAGTCTACAGTCTCATTTCATTGAAAACAACTGACTATTATAGGAGACAGCTCCTGATTGGCAAAAGTCACATGATATTTTCAGAATAAAACTTTGCATGGGCACCTGTACACTGAGAGCATTTAGCTTAAGTGATTTCCATAGGGAATAGTGGTAAGGGCTGTAGTTAGCAAAATTGGCATTCTCTTCATGGTGTTAATTCTCTGTGCTGTCTTTGCAAATTATTGAAACTTTTGATTTTATATTTGGTGATGCTAATCAGTGTTCACTCCTTACAGATTAACCAATAATTTTTATCTAAATGTGGAAAATTATTAATGAAATCCCTTTAAACCATACTTAATAAGTCAAAAGATTTTTTTTTTTTTTCTAGATCTGCTATACCTGAAATGTCAAAAGATTTTGAGAGGCCCTGATGGTGGGTTAAAATTATATATAGAGATGCAGAAGTATTATAAGGGACCATTTTCCATTTTTAAATCTTAGATACCTGATTACAATTATGAATTCTAATATATTGTATGTGGGAATATAAATATCCGAATTCTCCCAGAGGACTTGGCTTATATCCAAGGATGTCAGCAGTGGACACTAAGTTTACCTCAGGAATTTTAATCATGCAGGACTAGATTAAGGAAAAATGCTGGCGTTTATAATTTTGGATACTAATATAAAACCAAAATGGAAGCTAAACAGAATTGTCACATGTAGTCCATAGTGCTTTCGTATGTATTATTCTGTAACTTGTTTGTATTGAGGCAACTTTTATACTTTCAATGTATCATTTAATAAAAAAAAAATTAAGCAACTCACCTTTGTGCAAAGGGTGTTCATACCACTGTTCTGTCATCAAAAGACACACACCAAAAACAGAAGAATGGAGAAACTTAGCTCTTGGAGAGTGTAGCAGGCGTCCTCAAACTACGGCCCACGGGCCACATGCGGCCTGCTGAGGACATTTATCCGGCCCGCAGGGTGTTTTTGCCTCCACTACCTGTCCTCCTTAGCAGACGACTCATCGTGGGCCCACAGTGCGCATGTGTGGAATGTGCGGCCGCACTCTCCAACGGTCTGAGGGACAGTGAACTGGCCCCCTGTTTAGGACCCCTGGAAGGGTTGAGGGAGGGGAGCTTCTCCTGATGTAGGTGCACTTTTAGCATCAGCCATATCACTGCAGAGCAATTATTCATCATAGAGCGGTGGTGTCAGTCTCTAGGATGACAGTATCATAATCTGGGGCCATGTGTGGTTTGGAAAAGCATATTTAGTATTACATTTTTGTATTTGGAAAAGAGAAAACCATCTTATTTTTCAAAACACTTAACAATGAGATATTCAGGATTATCCAAAAAGGAGGGTTTTGTGTCCTTAAAAAGTCAAAAAAATCTGCTCTAGAAATTGTACTCATGATTTATGAACAATGTCAATTAATTTATAACCAGTAGTTTAAAGAGGTGGATGGGCTGAGACATTTAAAAAACTTAAGGAAAGAAAAGAGAAATGTAGAAATGTCTCTAGGAAGAAGTAAAAGCACAGAGGACCAAAGTATTCTCATAAACTCGTTATTAAGTACATCGCTGGTGGTTTTCTTCGAGTTGTTGGGAGAAGTTATCTTCTAGAAATGCTAGAGAAGTTTTGAAAGAAAACTTGGATTTACATAAAAATAGGATGGGAACTGAAGAAGGATTTAGGAAAGGTGGAAATTTAAAACTTGGGCAATCTAAAAACTCATAGCAGGAATGGAGGTGTCTTTTGAAGAAGATAAATTTAAGCTTAGCATATATATTTGCACAGAATAAACTAATAGCTTTATAATTATGTGCAAGAACACATTTGTATACGATTCACATGCCTGTATGGTTATGTAAAACTGGCTGTGTTCTTTTAACCTAAAGCCAAGTGTACATGGAGGATTAACATTTGTGAGAATATGCCTTTAAAGGCATTGAGCACAGTGCTTCCCAGCCACTTGGTATTTGATTTTTGTAACAACCGTTGTTTGAGGACTGTGTGGTCTTCATGAATTTTTTTGAATTGAAAGCAAAGTAAAACTACCTTTTTAAAAGTAGACTTTATTTTTTAGAGCAGTTTTAGGTTCACAGCTAAGTTGAGTGGTAAGAACAGCTCCTATCTACCCCCTTCCCCACGCGTGCATAGCCTTTCCCACTGTCAACTTCCTGCATCAGAGGAGCACGTTTGTTCCAGTGGTTGAATCTCTTTTGAGACAGCATCATCCAAAGTCCATATTTACATTAGAGTTTGCTCTTGTACAGATGCTCTGCAAGTTAGAATGGGGTTATGTCTCTAGAAATTCATTGGAAGTTGAAAATGTTGTAAGTAAAAAATGCATTTAATATACCTAGCCTATCTTAAATGTGCTCAAAATGCTTATATTAGCCTGTAGTCGGGCAAAATCATCTAACACAAAGCCTATTTTATAATAAAGTGTTGACTATCTCGTAATTTAATTGAATACTTCATTGAAAGTGGAAAACAGAATGGCTGTGTTGGTACTTGAAGTATGGTTTCTACTGAATGTGTATCACTTTCATGCCATTGTAAAAATGAAAAGTAATTTGAACCATTGTAAGGCTGGGACTGTACATTCTATGGCTTTGCACAAATGTATAGTGACATGTATTCACTGTTACAGTATTATACAGAGTAGTCTCATGGCCTTAAAACTCCTCTGCACTTTGCCTCTTCCTGCCTTTTTCAAAAGTTGTATAGTCAGAATCGCATAGTATGTAGCTTTTTCAGATTGGCTTCTTTCACTTAAAAACATGCATTTAAGGTTCCTTCTTGTCTTTTCATGGCTTGATACCTCATTTCTTTCTAGCACTGAATAATATTAATATTTCATTGTTATTCATTCACCTACTGAAGGGGCCGGCCCCTTGGTTGCTTTCAAGTTTTGGCAATTATGAATAAAGCTGCCATAAACATCCTGTCCAAGTGTTTGTGTACAGACATAAACTTTCTAATCCTTTGGGTAAATCCCAAGAAGTGTTGGATCCTATGGTAAGAATATGTTTATTTGTTTGGTTTTTTAAAAAAACTGTAAAACAGGGGTTTTTTTGTTTTTTCTTTTTTAGACAGAGTCTCACTCTGTTGCCTGGGCTAGCGTGCCGTGGTGTCAGCCTAGCTCACAGCAACCTCAAACTCCTGGGCTCAAGCCATCCTCCTGCCTCAGCCTCCTTAGTAGCTGGGACTACAGGCATGCGCCACCATGCCCGGCTAATTTTTTCTATATATATATTAATTGACCAATTAATTTATTTCTATTTTTAGTAGAGACAGGGTCTCGCTCTTGCTAAGGCTGGTTTCGAACTCTGGACCTTGAGTGATCCACCCACCTCGGCCTCTTACAGTGCTAGGATTACAGGTGTGAGCCACCACGCCGGCCGTAAAACTGCTTTTATTGAGTTTCAGGACCCTTTTTGATGGAGGTAGAGAATCTGGAGTTACTGGGACACTGGAGTTATTGGGACACCGGAGTTTGAAGTAGGCGATGACAGAAAGAGCATTGCAGGTTGTGGTGCAGTGGACTCTGGTAGCATGGAGGCCTCATGAACGAAACAAAAGTGCTTTTGCGCAAGAGAGGTGGAGCTGAGCTGTGCTTGTGGTCAGGAATGATGTTCCTTCATCCACAAGGAGGCAGACCTTAGGCCAGATTCACCAAGTCAATACACTTGGGCTGATACACTTTTTTTTTTTTTTTGAGAGAGAGAGAGAGAGAGTCTCTGTTGCCTGGGCTAGAGTGCCATGGCATCACCTAGCTCACAGCAACCTCAAACTCCTGGGCTCAAGCGATCCTTTTGCCTCAGTCTCCCGAGTAGCTGGGACTATAGGCATGCACCACCATGCCTGACTAATTTTTTCTCTATATATTTTTAGTTGGCCAATTAATTTCTTTTTTTTTTTTTTTAGCATAAAGGATGTGGTTCTATAGCCAATTAATTTCTTTCTATTTTTAGTAGAGACGGGGTCTCGCTCTTGCACAGGCTGGTTTCGAACTCCTGACCTTGAGCGATTCTCCCTCCTTGGCCTCCCAGAGTGTTAGGATTACAGGCGTGAGCCACCACGCCTGGCCCACTTTTAAATAATTAAATCCTGGACCACTTGCGAGAGTAAACCATGCGTGGACCCAGTCTTTGATATTAATAAAAACTAGAATGGATCACCCTTTGGGGATTTTTGAAGCTAGTGGCAAAAAAAAAAAACTGACTGTAAGAAATAGATTTTTCCCTCGGCTATCTTGTTTCATGAGTTCATGGAAACTCCCATTAAATGGCCCCTCACAGAAGAGACATGCCTAGGAAAATTACTTGACAGCACTCAGTCAAAGTGTCATTTTTAAAAGTAACTCTCCCAATTTTAAAATAACTGACCTTTTGAGCCATGAGAAATATAAAACAGAGGCATCTGATTCAGTGAGTATAACAATGCACTTTTGAAGGTTCAAACATCTGAACTTCGTCCATTGGACAGATACCTACTGAATGACTGTTAGATGAACATGCTGTCTCTGCCTCCTCTTTGAGTCTACCAGAAAGGTATGGAATGGTTTATATAAGGCCTTCATTTGTACTGTCATATTTAACAACCCATCAAGGTAGTTGAGGCAAAGAGTCTGACCATCCTTGCTTTTCCCCGAGAAAACAGGCTCAGAGAGGTTCACCAACAATCTCCAAGATGCTTGACTGGTGCTGGGCAGATCTGGGATTAAAACCTTAGATTTCCATCTGCTAACTATGGACTCTATCAGTCAGGCTGGGGTTGGAACTCCTGCTCGACTACTAACTGCATGTTCTACCTTGGCTGGGTTAGTTAGCCTTTCCAAATCTGAATTCTCAACAGTAAAATAGGAAAAAAATAAAGTACCTACTCCATAGGGTTGTTATAAGGATTAGGTAACAGTGTAGAAAAATTAAATGTTTGTTACAAAGTCCCCTATTTGTTAACAACATAATCATTCTCTTTTAGAAATAATCAAC